ACTTATTGCTTACACCACTCATGGCAGGCCAATTCCAACGCCTTCCCGGCCTTCCCTCAATCTCTGCCAAGCCTGGATCTGTTGAGCACTAGCAGACTCATGTCGCCGCCTGGGTCTTAACTGCACATAGCTATATATCTGGATCTATCTGATCATGTCGTGTAGCCAACAAGTAATTAGCTCTAAAAGATTCTAAAAGGAAGTGGGAGCCACAAGGTCGACCATCAAACGGCAATTGGCTGTGATTTCCTATAGCGATTGTGCTTCCTGCATTTGCCAAACAACAAAAAAAAACACAGAGAGACACACTAGTCGCTAGACCACCAGCGCAGCTCTCACGTCCTCTGTGCAACACACTTATTCTTCACCGATTAATCATTACAGTGGCCCTCTGTCTGAAGGCCCCAGCACACCGTTCCACTGGGCCTGGAAGGCTGCACCACTTGACACAAAGGATGATAGGATGTCAAAACCCACTCAGAGTGACATGGTCAATCCTGTTTTTTGCCCAGAGTGGAGGGGTAGGCCGTAAAGGTAGGCACTAGGTAGCCAGTAGAAGCTAGGTAGCTAGTAGCTTAAGTAGCTACTACTTATGACGCAGGATAGCTCACGATTCTTCTTTTTCTTCTTCTTGGCGGCAGGGGGGAGCTTCCTTGAAGAAGAGCTCGCTCTAATGATTTGGTTCCTAGATGTTTAGGGAAACTTAACTCAATGTGCACCAAAATCAACTTCATGGAACTTGCTGGATCAAGGTCGGCAGAATCAATTTCTCATCTGTCTGCTAGAAACGATGTGTGAAGGTATGCGGACGTGCAATTTGTTTCACATTCTTGGAACTCTCCCATGATAGTGCAACAACAGCCAAGTCAAGTGTGAATATTCTGGTATACAGGAATGCAAAACAGAATTCAAGCCATCAACCACAACTTTTTTGTCTTTTGAAGATCCGAAGAAGATTTCGCTGTCCCGGCACAATCATCGCTTGCCGCCGGAGCAAACTATAGGGTCACGGCTTGCGCCAGGCAGGCCCGGCTCAAGACCCAGACAGGGGCCCGAAATCCACCGAAGAGCATCAAACTGACATCACTTGCTCAAGCTTCTCAACTGGGGCCAAAAAAAGACCGAATGAGGCCATCAGCAAACCCAGGCCCCTGGCAAACTTTACTCGGTAAGGCGCTGTTTTTGTCAGCACCGACAACCATCTTTGCCCTCAGGCCCCTCTTCAAGACACCCAAACGGCCGCCATGGGTCAGGGCCCTGTGTCAGGCGGTACATCCATGCGCATTTGGCACGAAGACACTGTCTGCTGCAGGTCAAGCTAATTTGTGGAAAATGGCCAAGGGTCCTTCACCTCCTTGTATTGTGTTCACACTGGTCAAGCTGCTCGCTTTGGAGATGTGCTCGAAGAACCCTAGGGTACAACATAAGTCATGCCAAGCGTGAATTCAGAGCGTATCTGGATTGGCCGCAACAGTGTGCGAGGTCGATCGCTTTGAACCGTAAGAGCAAAAAGTGGCTGGAGGACATCTAGACAAGGTCTACACGTCAGCTTCCATCGCTTTGGACATGTCCTCCTTCTTGCGCTCAGTTCCTGCGCTGGATAGATCAACGCCACTGCTTGGAGGCAACCATGTTCGCGCTTATCTTGGGATGGACGGTTTGTGGCCCACTGCCCCAAGAACATTTCAGGGATTGTCAAACTGTATCAAACTTTACTGTCTGTGCTGGCTCGAGGTGTGTTTTCTGGTTATATACGCATTTCCGTTGCAGAGGCCCGCTGTAAAACGGTAAAACGGTAAAATGTCGAGCGCACACACAAGGGCGGGGTAAAATGGTAAAATCCCGAGGTGACAGAAGCGAGGAGTAAAACGGTAAAGCGGAAAAACTGTAAATTTACAAAATTTAACGATTTTCCGAGGGTCAGCCAAACTCATAGTACCGAATTGACCAAATTTACCTTTGCGCTGACATGTGTAACCTCTTAGGCTGAACGCGCGCGGGAAGCCGGCTTGGCCCTCAAGAATACTGCCCCTCAAAATCCTTACAAAAAAAAACAAGACACTAGAAGAGTTCCCGTGTCATCCGAAATATACACCACTATATGACTGACTCTATATGGGAAGACTAAAAAATGTTTGACAACAGCGAGACCTTGCACAAAAGCACAAAGCCAATTTCATTCCGGAGTGAATCGTGGCCTCTTGGACTGAGGATCAGGTCAAAGCTGGCGATGCGCTCGAAGACGCCCTCGTGGGCCATCGGGTCCCGGCGAAAGCCTTCGGTGAAGCTGGGCCTGCGCAGCATCGCATGGTTTCCATCGCGAAACTGTCAACAGAATCATCAAACTCGCAGAAAGAAAACATGCTCGAATTGCCTTTTCAAGTGCATAAGGAAACACAAAGACTCTATTTCACGCCAAAGCCAGGCCACACGCTCGGAAGCCGGACGGCATCATCCGAGGAAGTGTACTCGATCGCACGCACTAGGTGGTTGGCCTAGCCGGTGAGACTCTGTGAACAACGACAGAATTGAGAAAAAATCATGCTTTATGTTGGAAGTCCCAATCAGCAACAGAAACTACAACTGGCCTTCTCGATGATCTTCTGGCTGCTCAAATTCAGCGTGTGGAAGGTAATTGTCTTGCCTCGCATAGACATTCAATAGCTCTGACAACTGCATCACAATGTGTGACGAAAGTATGATCAGATTCAATTCCTTGCTTCAGCACCCCACAAGACCACGGCCCGCTCCTGCGTTTTGGTAGTTCAGCGCGATCTTGTGGAGGGTCTCCACCGAGGTAAAGTCCATCAACGTTGCTTCGCCAAATCGGAGTTCCACCTCCTCGCTGTGCAAAGCATACGTGGGGCCCCGCCTCATGACTAGGATTCTCCTGTTGCGCCATGCACGTAATTAGTATTAGTAAAGGTTTGTAAACTGGTATCCGTCTGAAAAACCAAGTGTTGAGATGTCAACTTTGCCAAGAAACAAATGAATTCTTTTCAGCTCAGCTCACAATAGTTCACAATGACGAAACAAATCACTTTATACCATTTTAGCTCTTAGCCTCAGCTCTCAACCTGTCCTCAGGATCCTTTGTGGGGTCCAGCAACTTCACCAGGCGATTTGCAGAGGTGAAGAACAAAGGGCCGTCAACCTGGAAAGTTTGCAAGTAGAAGTTCAAGACAAGTCCCAAAGACCTGGGCAACAAAATCCCCCGACGACACGCACGTTCACCAACAAGGTCGTCTGTCCGCCTTGAAGCGTGAGAGCCGGCTCAAAGTGCCACACGGGTATAGCAACATGGCAATATGTCGGCATAGCGCATATGGTGTATCCACATAATATGTGCAAGCACAACAACGCCACTAAGCAAGAACCAGAAAGCCTGCTCCGGGGCCCGCTCTGGAGTCTGCCAGCAAGTCAGCGCGACGGCATGACCCGGCTGCAGCGTCTCAGCGTGACAAGATGTCAGCACGTTGGCATGGCCCACGTTAGCGCGACCCACGTCAGCGTGCCAGCATGACAACATGCCAGCGTGAGACCACACGAGCACATCAGCGCGACAAAGCGTATCAGCGTGGCAACGCCTCAGGAAAGTGCTCTGGAGCTTGCTCCCAAACTTCAACCACAACCTCGTCTGAAACCTCCTCCGGAACCTGCTCCGGAACTTGATCCAGAACTTCCTCCCGAACTTGCTGCGGAACCTGCTCCCATCTGCTCCGAAGTCTTCACTATGGCTGGACCCCAGGCTTTGCTGTTGGGGAAAATCAAAAAATGCTAAATTGATCTAACATGATATAGAAAAAAATGAGCTCATGCACTAGGTTTCCTCCGTTCAGCTGAAAACTACATGAGTTCCGCTGATGAGTCCAAGCCACGTCATACACTTTGATTGCCCCGGCCCTGGCAGATTGGTGCGCACTTGCCATGAAGATGTCAATTGATACACTAGTTACTAGTTCCGTTGAACTCCCGTCTTGTCAAGTTTGCCGAGGCTCATTGACTCGCTCAGCTGGAACTCTTGCCCGGCATCCCAGGCAAAGCTCACCGCGCAAATTGACACACCGACCAACACGGCGATGGCGATGTTCGTCTGTTTGGACAAGATGGTCACCACCTCGGGCGAGGCGATTGGCTTGGCAAAGGAAGGTCATGGATGTCAGACTAACCTGAGGGTCGTGTCAGTCGTGGTAGAGATAACGGTGTTGCTCAATTGCAAGCCAATTGCAAGCCCATCAGTTAAAGCAGTGTGGTTTGGCATCTAGCTACAAAACACAAGTTAGATTGAAGGAACAGTTGATATCAGTTGATTTCGTGAGTCAAGCACCTCAACCCCAACAAAGTCCACCCACTTGAAACAACAAAGTCAAATGCCTATGTCACCTGTGTCGCCTGTGCACGTTCATAGGCAATACAAATCATTGAAAGCATTCTGGACTGATGGCCAAGTTGCTAGAACCACCAAAGCTTCCACCCGCGGCACCTGTGAGGACTAGAGTCGGAGTTTACAAGTCCATTGCAACCCCCACACGTCCCGATGGACCTGCCTTTCGATGCAAGTTCAGGCGGTCCCGGCAGGACTTGGGCAGAATTGCAGCCAGGATCATCCCCAAGGAGAACCATTTGAAGGTGTGAAGCACCACTACAATCATGATACCTGCACGTCCAGGGATGACGTGGCACCACCAAAGAAGCAGTATCTGGTCTCTTGCTGATCTGCTCAGAAGAGGCACATGGGCTCTTTGTGAAATACATTCAACAAAATGCGGTAACAAGAAACTACTTGGGGCTCCTGGCCTTACTACTAGGAACAAGGACGCTAATCCAGTCCCCCTAATAAAAAACGCCCCCCCCCCCCCAAATAAGGAAACCTCGGTCGCATTTTTTCTAATAGGGGGTCCCTGAAATCGGGGGGCCCAAAATAGGTCACCTGGGAAGAGCTTCAAAACCAAAAAGTAAATCAATAAAATTTTATATAAATCCATTATTAAATTCGTATCAAAAAAGCAAAAAAGCTCCAGATCGAAGGGTCTTCCTTTTCCCCTACAAAAACCTTCATTAGAATAGTGATTCTTCAGTAGACTAACAACTAAAGCTTTCGAAAGGTGATGTCGCTGTGCCATGCGGTGTTGCATGACCTCGGTGGCAAGTGCGTTTGCGTGAGTCCGTGCCATTGGGGGAAGGAAAGCCTGCTGGTGTAAGCGCGGCGTGTCATGGTGGATAGACAGGGCGGACAGAGGTGGGCAGTTACGGTTGTTTTTGGAGCCTAATAAAAAACAAGATGGAACCCACGAACCCGAATGCAAACACGATCGAAAAACAAATATGTCCAAAGGACACTCTTGTAGGACACTCTTGCGGGACACTCTGTAGGACACTCTTGTAGCACACTCTTGTGGGTCACTCTTGTAGGCAACTCTTGTGGGACACTCTTGTAGGACACTCTTGTGGGACACTCTT